TTGATGAAAAAGCTCACTACGGTCATCCAACAGACGTTTGAACAACATAAGAATGAAATCGGTAAAGATAAGGGAAAAGAAAAAGATTCAGGTGAGCTCTCGAGACCCRGATCTGAAAGGGTATCATTTAAGGCATTTAGAAKCAGTGGARCAACAGAGTTTACCGRACTCACTGATCCGGTAATTGCCGTTCAATGGATACAAAACACTGAGAAAGTCTTTCGCATATCTCATGTGGCTAATGAGGATAAGGCAATTTATGCAAGTGCGATGCTTACTGAAAGAGCACTTGTATGGTGGGATGCAACATTTGAGACCTTGAATGAAAACGAGAAAGAAAGTATGTCGTGGGAGTCCTTTAAGGCTCGTTTCTTTGAGCAATACCGTCCGGTAGACTTACAAATGAGGTTAGAGAAGGAATTTCTCGAGCTAAAGCAAGGCAACATGTCAGTGATCGAGTACAAAACTCAATTCAACCAGAAAGCCCATTTTGCAATCCGTTTTATTACATCGGAGGAGGAGAGAGCATGAATTTTCATTGAGGGACTTAGATATGAAATTAGAGACTTTGTTACGAACCGAGAGATCCCTAGCTTCAATAAGGCAGTAGAATATGCTCGACGTCATGAGCACGATTTGGAAGAGCGTGGTGAGTTGTCTTCTATACCCAAGCATCAAAAGGTAGATCGAACGTTTTTTGGCCCGTGTTATAGACAGCCTCGATCCTCTAATCCAAGACACTCGCATTCTCAAAATACGCATTCACACAATGTATCACGTGCTCATTCTCAGGCCTTCACACTTCAGTCGGAAGCATCACGTTCTTGCCAGCGATGTGGCAAGACTCACCGGGGGCGCTATGAAAGTAATCGGACTCTGATTAAGTGCTTTAATTGTGATAAGATGGGACATGTACGATCGATGTGTCCATAGAGAGGTCGAGCTTGTTACTCCTGCGGTTCTCCAGATCACTTTATTCGAGATTGTCCCGGACCACGTCGTAATGAAAGTAAAGCTTCAGTCCAGCACCCTATGAATGCAGGTACTTCCATTCAAAAGGAGGAGATACCCAAACCTCGAGTTAAAGCATTTCAGATCATGGCAGAAGAAGCTCGTAATGAGCCCGATGTTGTCACTGGTATTTTCTTTGTAAACTCTCGACCTGTGCATATATTGTTTGATTCTGGAGCGACGAATTCTTTTGTGTCACATCACTATATGTGTTATTTGAATTAGGTGCCTTGTTTGCTTTCTACACCATTTGCTATCAGCATAGCTAACGGTGTATCTTTGATAGCTGATAGAGTTTATAGAGATTGTGTGATAGAGTTAGATGATCATGAATTTCTAGTTTACTTGATACCTATTGATATATACGGCTTCGATATCGTGATTGGCATGGATTGGTTAGTGAAGAACCGTGCAGATATTCTTTGTTCC